AAGTATTTGAGAGTAATGTATAACTTTTGAATTTAGCAATCACATATAGTCACAGAAAACTGGCAAATTACACTCTTGAGGCCGGTAATACAAGCGTTCCCTGAGGCTTGTTATTTTGGTGCTTAAGCAAAAATACGACGACGACCGCAACACCTTTGCTGTTTGCACGTGGATCCCGCTTTTTTGTACATTTATTTGCCGTCACTACACGAATACTACGTTAAAATGCCTGATTTCACGTTTTGTGCAGGACGTGAACTCAAGACAACGACTTTCTTTTTCTTTTCCTGAACTTCGCAGAAAAATTTGCCAATATTTGAAGAATTGAACGGAATGGAATAAGCGCGCGCGATAAAGTTTGAAGCAGCGCGAGCTCACTCTTTAACATGGTGACGTTCTCGTTGCCTTCGCCGTTGTTATTGCTTATTAAGCTCCCTATTACTAGGATTTGCCCCGTATGTGTACTACTGCTCTTTGATTTTCCTTTTCTTTCAAAATATGATCTTCCCTTGTACAAAAAATACACTACTCTTACAAGCTTGTAATGAAAATTTATTTCAGCTGGACTTTTAAAAGTACAATCGTGACAGGCAGTTTTATTCAGCGGCTCTTACAAAACTTATGAATTATAAATTGCTTTGCTTGGGAGCTGCCAAAAAAGAATTTTACACGTAAACAAACTGAAAGACAGTATAAGGCTGATATACGTAATTGTGATTGCACGCACATAAAGCTTCAGTGAAGTTCATCCAAACATTTTCCGTCAATGGCAGCCTCGTGGTTAATTCGTTTGATCTTTCTGGCTGTTAATGTTCTCAGCGCAAATTTACTGGTGATATCCAACTCCGACTTCTGTGCGAGCGTTTTTGAAACTAAGAATGGTAAGTTAACACGTTCGGCTCTATAAAACAGTTTTCGACAACTTTTTCTATATCTCTGGGCCCAAACAAAATATCGTTCTTTGTAACATCTTTTAAATATCCGCCATTTAAAGCACTTTAAAAGCACTTCCTTTTCTTGACCATATCTGGTGTTGAAATTTAATACTTATATTACAACTTCTACCACTTTTTTTTTTACTTCTGACGATTCCCGCTAGCTCGTATCTAATCCCAATTAAGAAAGCAAGTATATATTTTATTATAAAAAGGCAAAGCTAAACTAAGAGAATATATGAATACCGTTTTACTTCATATTCCCCCGTTCTTTATTATTTTTTCTTTCAGACCATGTTTTAGTTGATCATGTCATGAATACGTCAGCGGTTGCTGACGAGTTTGAATGTCACCAAAAATGCCTCAGAAATAACAGCTGCAAGTCATTTAATGTTCGTCCTGGTGCAGATATTACAAAACGACTTTGTAAGCTGAACAACAAAACACGGAAAACGACGCAGGATAAATTTAAAAAGAAGAAAGGATCTTCTTATTATGGACATGTTAAGGTCAGATCCACTGTTTGAATATGAACTATCGCTTTTTTACAAAACTGTTAATTAAAAAAAACAAAAGGCAAAACAACCAATTAAAACACTTGTTCACGACGGTCACCCTGAAATCAAAAATGAGACAACAGACTAGTATTTAATTTCTTTAACTTTCCGGCTCAAATTCTATAGAGTTTGAGGCCTTATTATGAATTAGCTGAACTCAAGTAGTTATGTTTGCAGAACTCAAATATCGTATATGGTGCTTTTGACGACATTTTTCTTTTAAACATTAATTTGTCGTGGAGTAAGAGTTTGCCTGTGTCTTAAAGTACATATTTGCTTTTACCTACACAGTAAACATTGCGTATGGCAGGAAATAAAAAGAAGGTAATAGATACAACAACAACAACAACATATTAATATTCCTTCTAAAGCGAACAAAAGTGGTAAAAACTAAAGCACATAATGAGGTCATCTATAGTTTTTATCTACTGTTTGATGTTTCTCATTTCAACTCGTTATTTTCTTCTCAGGTTTCCTGCCAAGATCTGCTCACCAACAAAAAGAAACAAACTGGTCATTGTCATCCGGATTACAGAGGCAACAAACTTGAACTTCGTAAGTAACGCTCGTCTGTTTTTAAATTTGATTTTACAATTGCTTCACGGTGGAGTGAATATTCACCATATATAGTCATTTGTTTTATTATCTGCTACAGCAAAGCAGCGTAGCTGGAATTCCAAGGACCCTGCTTATTCCTGTTAGAGCATCCGGGACTCTGGTGACTCTAAAGGAGACGGGATGTACTAGATCGACCCTGAGAGCAGTGGAAACCCGTTGAACGTTTACTGTGACATGACAACTGGCGGAGGTGAGATCTGCTCTTAAAAAATCTGTAATGGTAAAAAATGCTTTTCCATTTCTGATTGGCCTAAATTCCCCGGCTTATTCTTTATAAACAGTTACCATTTTCAACTTTTGAAGACGTCTAACGTCAGTTGTACAGACATCGTTTGGGAGAGGGACGGCAGAGGGTTCAGTAGCTCAGCTGTTTTAACAAAGCTGAAGATTTCCCCGGCAAGGCGGGTATGCAGGTTGTCTTTTCGGCCTTTGTGGTCCTTCATGAGAACAGTACAATTTCACGATGTTAATTAAAAAGCACTTTTTCGAAATGAATGAGAGACGTGAAAGTAGGTCTCTTGTCTTAAACAGGGTTATGGTTTGAAGGGCTCGGCAGCTCACTTTTATCCAAACTTTCCTGAGCCAATGCAACTTCTCGAAATCGTGTAATTTCTTTCTGGGATCGGATAACTTGGCCTTTTTAATAATACGAAGCAAATATAAGACGTATACGGGTATGTACACTGCACGTAATAATAATAATAATAATAATAATAATAATAATAATAATAATAATTTTATTTATATAGCGCTAAAATCCAATAATTGTCCAAAGCGCTACCTAATTACAAAAAAGAATATAAAAAAAAAAATGTAAATTATAAAATATCNATGCTAACTTAAATAAAAAAGTTTTAAGGGATTGCTTAAAAGTTGCCACTGAAGCACATTTCCTAATCTCTAGAGGTAAATCGTTCCACAATTTAGGTCCCGCAATAGAGAAAGCTCTGTCTCCATATGTTTTCAATCTGCTTCTTACACTGTACATAACACTGTTATTCTATCTCCGAATATTATTATTATTTGAATAGTTGAAGAAACACAAAAGAACACGAAAAGAAAGATGCAACCTGGAAATGGCGACACCGTATCGTTGTTTATTCCTTTACTTGTGAAAATTGTTTGTTCTTAATATATAGCTTTAGCCAGGGCTAAAAGCGAAGCTCCGGCCCGTTGATAAATTTACAATTTAAATCAAACGATAAACTTTTAACCAGTTTAACCCACAAATCACTAATTTTAGGGCACATTCATGTGACGTTAGAGGGAGGGCTAAGTGATTTTTGCAAACAGTTCAAGGATAAAAAAAATTCTTACATACCGTTCATAGTCTTATTTTTACACCCAAAAAGTAGAAATCACCTTTGATCACAGCACATTAGGCTTGGAAAACAAATTTTTCCAAAACAAATAACCTATTCGCACATTAACACCACCCTTATTTTATAAGGTTAATTGGACAGCGCTGATATATAATTATATGTTATAAAGGTCGGTTATTAGACATGATAGTCCTCGGTAGCAGCCAATTTATACGCTATAATTTGTTGGTTCAGCTGGTTGTATCCCTCTACAAGCAACATTGTGATTCTGACTATTCTGCTTGCAAAATTTAATATGTCTACTTGTTATCTTTGCAGATCAGGTCTTTATATATCCTACGTTCGGCATACTCGTTTGCGGTTTTAGTCCTTTCTGGTTAATGTTTGTTCTTTATGTATTTTGGGGTCGTAGAACTTTTATAGATCCGATATGCTGTAATTTTTGCATGGTTCTGTCCATGTTTTTGAGGTTGGTTTTGCCCAATCCTTTATTTTCTTTCCGAGACAGCAACTTGACACTTGGACCCTTGCGGCCCCCGAGAAGACACATAGTATGGCGTGATTCTGTCGGTGATGAGAGTTCTAGGTTAAATCATAGTGCGCGGATATTTTTCATCAGAGTTTTCTCTGGTTGTTACGCCATACTGTCGGAGCCCAAAAAAGAGCGAAGCAGCTGTCTATGGCTATAGTCCCGCTCTGTTTTGAGTTCTTTCAGTGTCGTGTTGATGTCTTGCTTCACGGTGGAGTGAATATTTACCATATATAGTCATTTGTTTTAAGTTAATTTTTACGTATATAGTACGATCAGCATTGCAGTATTCTGCATGCAGAACTTAATATGTCTATTTGCTATTTTTGCTGATCAGGTCTTTATAGACTGAATATGGCCAACGCATGACCGTGGTGAGAAAAGCCAAAAGCAACTACCTTTCCTGCCTGTTAAAAACTGGCTAAGCCAGTTGGAAATCAACATTTTGATTGTGCAGCTCAGAAACACAACTTTATTTCCTATGCGTAGAAGAAAAATTGAACTTGAGCCTACGAATGTTTAAAAAGTAGTAACTTGTCAGCGGATAACTTCATAAAAACTCAAACCCGATGGGTCAACACAAGAGCCCGCGATACGGCCATGTGATATTGCTCAGCCGATACCCTGTTTTGACAACTGTCACCTGACGAAAATATGGATGTCCATTATCAGGTTACAGACTCCCACACTAGCTAGAAAGTGTGAGATTTAATCTTGGTTTCCCTACAGTGTAGACGGACGTCGGACGGACGATCACGTGACCAAATTTCCCTGATAGATCGAAATGCGCGCGTCGAGCTTCGCTATTAAAACAACCTTTCTTACTGTTTTTACAAATGTACAACTTCAATAAAATACCTCTTTATCTTCACATTTTTCCTTCAGGAGGCTGGCTCCTCGTTTCCAACATCACGATGGAAAGCTCAATTCTTCCCTATGAGCTGCCAGACAAGACTTCATACCCTGGAATAACCAGTGATCAGATGGTTCTCACAAAAACCGTCATGAATGAGCTTAGAACACACTTGTCTTTCACCCAACTGAGATTCCACTGCAGTAAAAACAATGGACGTACGTTCCACGTGACCACTGCTGCTAACAGCACTGGTGAAGCTGTAGTACAGTACTTCAGCGGTCAGACGGATGTCCAGCCCGCCTCGTGTGGCTCATACGTCAGAATGGAAAATGACAACTCAAGGTTAGCAGGTGTTTGCCAAAAGTGGGGATTCGAAAGTGGCTCACATGAGGTAGCTAAATGGGGCCATGGATTTGATCAAGAGAGATTATACCACCACCCTGCTTTTGCTAGAGATTTATATCATTGGACGCTTGATGGTCAAACAAAAAGATGGGAATGCGACGATTATCTTGTTGGCGTGACCACCGGTGATTTCTGGAAGATTTACGTTCGCTAAAAATGTTTGTGTGTTGACGTCTGTTTTATTGTTAGTCTTATTAACTGTAGACGTTTAAAAAGTACTAGTAGTAAAATGACGGCATGGTACAAATAGCCCATTGCTAACTTAGATGAAAATACCTTGATTTCAAGCCATTTATAAAATATAAAAATATATATATAACTGTTACAAGAGATTTTTCTTATATTCGTCATTTAAAGTAAGCTTTATGTCAGTTTTCGTATATTGCATTTAGTTTTCAAGTAATAGCTTTGAATAAAGCCACGAAAAGCTCATGCCATTTAATCATTGTGCCGTTTGCTTTCAACTGTGTCGCATGCACCAAAGTCACTAAATATCAAATTTTCCTTGAAAAGCCAACTATAGAGCTTATTTATATATAAGCAAGCAAACTGAGGCCCAGTTAAGCAGTCTAAGCCCCGGGGGATACTTCTTGCAATGGCCTATATGGGAGGCACTGCTAGAAAGGGGCACCTTTGTCAGGTGTCAGGTATAAGATATGGTGGGGATTTTACTCAAGTTGAAGTATAAGAAAGGGCAGGGAAATCTGTCTGTAAAAAGACCTAAAGTTGCTAGAAGAATTTATG